CGATGGGCCGAATGGCCTCCTCTCGTTTGTATAGTTCTTATGTTCTTATGTTCTTAAATATTTAGTACTTTATTAATATCAACATTAAATCTTGTTTCAAGTTATATTTATATAATTGCATCACCTATGCAAAAACAAGAAACATTCACTTATTTAACAGAAGAAATTAACTGTGATGCTGTGATTACTATTTCAATTGCATAGAATTAGGTTCCAGTTCAAAATGTTGAGAACTTCATCCTTACCGGCACCCCAAAATGCATAATCGGCAAAATTATGCAGGGGTGGGGAATCTCTTCCATAGAGGGCCAGTGGAGGTGCGGGTGTCTGGGATGACCTCTCAATCAGCCAATAATGGACAGTGGTGCCTCAGAGTCTAGTATTCTAATTTAATTAGCATGCTCAGATTGGGCTTAGACTGGTTGTTCACATGTCATTACTTATTGTGAAAGTTACAGGAATTACTTTAATGTGAAATAAAAGGCTTTTGAATTTTTCAAATGCATTGTTAAAAAAAATAATCAGCTCAAGCATCCTTAATTTACACACTTGTGAAAATCATAAACATTACATATTAGATTTAATCTTTACACTATAGCTAGCTATCTATTGTTAAATGGTGATACATTTGAAATGAAATGACATTTACAAGGTATCTGAAACATCTGAGTTAGTGTACAATATACAACTTAAATTCCCCAGATTAGAATATTCCAAAACTTTGATATTTAATCTTCAAACAGGACAAAAAAAAACAATTCAGAATGCTGTGTTCCTAAGGTATTGTAATAAATGTGGGTTCTTTAACGCAGCAGAAAACTGCAACAAATACCCGAGCCTGTAATGATCACAACCCAAGCTTTATGTAGGAGAATCGACTATCTTTATTAATTCATACACTTTCTGCAATTAAAAGGGTAAAAAAGATCGCGAGGGCAGAGATAATCAGCAATACCAGACAATGGGCTTCATTACATCACACATTAAATTAAAGCTCACAACCCTCTAAGGAGGCACTGCAGACCACGTAATCCCCAAACACTATATAGGGCTGCACACACACCAACGAGAAGCACCGTCGCGGGATGCAGTTATACTCCCTCCCCCGCAACACACCCGCACAACATACGCGCGCACGCATTCACACACACACACACACACACACACACATAAAAAGTTGCTTAACACCCCCCCGTGGGGTTCAAGTTCAAGGCACTATCATACAATCCAAGGGAAGCGCAAGCTCAAAAAAAACAAGGATCAAGCTCACGCCAATATACCGAATCCAATTGCGGCACTCCACTCTCCTAAACCCAGGCCTAACTTACTAAAGAAGGCAACAAGCCTCCCCTCTTAATGCAGCACGAACTGATCCCCCTCATCTGTCTATCTCCGTAACACCTGCAATCCTAAATATTTGCGAACGACACCCTCCCGTCCCAAGAGTGTTAAGCCGCAGGTATACAAAACAACAAAACCCCCTCAACTATTTCTCGTATCCTTTTATATCCTGCCTTGTTCCGGAATACTCCCGAATCAGCCACACGTGCTACGGTCAATTAAATCAATTGAATTATGTCTCCGCCCATCCAAACCCAAATCAGTCCACACGTCACAGTATTAAAAAAGTAGGCGCAAGAATGTGACAGGCAGATTAAAATAAATTATATCCAGATCCAGTGCTTTGTTAAATGTATACATTTCAGTGAAAATTGGCACCATAGTTAAGTGAATTGGTTTCTTGTTCTTGCATAGGTGATACAATTACATCACCTTTATCTACAGATATGATTTGAAAGGAGATTTAATATTGATATGTTGATATTTCTTAATAAAGAACTAAATATAATGGGTGTGCTATTTTTTTCACATGACTATTACTGTTTTTAACTTGGCAGAGAACAAACATAAAACAATCACAAACGCTGTAACTGTTTCGTTAAATTAAGTAATAATAAAAGAGAAAACAATTCCAGTTAAATGAAAAACGGCGATCTTGTAGCTAACGCTACTTGGACCCCCAATAACACTAGAACTGCCGTTTCCCACGCCAAATAATGACAAATTCCTTTAACCTCTAAGCAACACGTACTGCAGTGTATGCGGCCCTTTTGTTTGCGTTAAGAAGCCAATCTTACACATTCAATCAAAACGCTGCAATATTCCTGAAATCGTACAGCTGAAAAGTTTTCAAACGCAGTATGCATTTTATAAAACGTTGAATAAATATAGACATAGTAAACTTGTGATTTTATGTTCGCCGAAGTTTCCGCTTTTTAACAAGTATATAAAGTAATGATTTTTTTCCTGTACAAATCAACTCTGGTGAAACTGTTAAAATATTTAAATGTACGTCTTCGGGGTTGCTAGATGTCATACATCTGGCGTCACACACGATTTCAGACTCTAACGCTGTCTTTTTTAAAGACCGTCCATACCCCCTTGTAATAGCGATTAAATTGATCAGTTTTTTTGGTGTTTATGTTAAAGCGAGACTTTTATTTTATTAACGGTGTGGAATTAAGATTGATTTTATAAGATTAAGCTATCGAAACAAGTACCTAATGAGTACTAAAATATTACATGAATACGGCTGTATTATGGGTTTTACGTCTGAGGGTTGCGGCAGCTCTGCTGCTGTGCGGATTACTGACTGTCCCATGGTTTTCTTGATGGGTGAGCAGTATACTAACGCAATGGTATATTAAAAAAAACGAAAGGTGTGCATACAAAGAAGTACGTGTTGGTGGCGGTAAAGGAGGTCGCGGTGGAACTCTGACTATGAAATAAGTAGGTAATTGTGTATTTTACATTTAAATGCACCCTACAATAAAATGCACTTTTGATAAGAATACTTATGTAAATACTTATGGGAAAACTGTATACCCATCTCCTTTAATCTCAGTATTTGGGGTGGTCCCAACTGACATACCTTTGAGTAGATACAAGTCTATGATGATTGCGTTTTGTTCTCTGCTGGCTAGACGGCTTATTCTTTATAAATGGAAGGACCATCATCCTCCAACATTTGGGCATTGGATTAGAGAGGTTATGTGTCATATTCATCTAGAAAAGATAAGATATACCATTGGTGGATCTGTTGGGAAGTTTTATGCTACAGTATCTGGCAACCATTCATGTCTTTTGTCGAAAATATGGTTGCAACCTACAGGATAAGAGAACTTTTAAGCAACTGACAGTGAGGTGAAAGTAGGAGAACAGTCAGACTGACAGAGAAAGTGACCTTTTTACACAAACTTTTTAGGGACTGTCTGAAAGTCCTGAATTGAGATCAAGGGGAGCATGAAACCAGTTTATTTAGGGCAGGCCTCAGGCTCCTTCCTGCTTAATAAATGAGTAAATAGATAAAATATGCCTTGAGGGCAGTCTGTGCTGGAGCAGTCAGACAGGGGGCCTGAGGAAGAAAGCTCAGAAAGGGAGCTTTTGTAATTTTGTTATACTTTTAACCTGAATTAAATATTCCACCAGGCAATCAGTTGGGCTGAGGGAAGAAAAGTTGCTATTTATAGGGCTGAGACTTCCGCCCCAGCACATGCCTGTGTGCACCTGTAACCTTTCGATCATGTGGTCCTTGTGGTGGCTATATTTATTTAGTAGTGAGTATTTCGGTGGGAGGTGTTTCGATACATCAGCCACAGCAAAAGTCTCCAAGGAAGCTGCCTGCATGGCATGCCACCTCTTCACAGGCTGGCTTCAGGAACGGGGCATGTTGCCAGGCAGCCATGGGTGCCACCTAATAAGCCCCCCCTGTTAGCTGTGCTGCCCTTTAAAGAATGCTTACGCCCTGAACCAACTGGCTGCTACATGGGTTGTCAGTTACCTTGCGTCCCATAGAGAACATGAAAGTCCAGCAAAACTCCTCCAAAAGATGACTACAGCGAAGCAGACAAACTTCAGTGCAATGGTGGTCTGATGGTTAGGGAAGCGCAGATGTAATTGAAAGATTGCTGGTTCGAATCCCCGAATCACCACTGAGGTACCCTGAGCAAGGTACCGCCCCCAAGCACGGCTCCCTGGGTGCTGAATTAGCTGCCCCCTGCTATATCACGATGTCACATATGGGTTAAATGCAGAGGACACATTTCGTCGTTGTGGTGTATCACCAGTGATCACTGATCACTAAATTCTATAACTCAATAAATTAAATAGCAGACTTGTTTCTTGCAGGGGCATTCAGCACATTTTAAGCATGAATAGAATGTTATGGGATGAGCTACAAAAAAAACAGTTTCTTAAACATTGTGTATTCTTGTGGGTGCATCTGTCACATGCATGAGCTGGTCATTCCCCAGGACTGTCCCACTTCACCCCCTAATGCAGTGTTTCCAAAACTGCTCCGCAGGGACCAACAGAGAATCCATGTTTTTACTCCCTCTCAGCTACAGTAGGGAGCAAAAATGTGTACTGTCTGGCAGGGAGCATAAATGTGGTCCATCTGTGGGTCTCCAAGGACTGTTGTAATGCTTGGATTCCCAAATTTTTCAGCCCACGACCCCAAGACGGGCCCTTAATAGATTTCCCAGGCTGGGGGGGGGGGTTCCCTCAGTTCGTTTATCATAATGTCCATTAGTGGTGGCTATGATTAAAATGGAATATTTGTTCACGTTTTTAAAATGGAAATTATCATGTGACATCCACCGCACCACTGTTGTTTTCTGTATTGCAAGAGAGTGATGTCTCTCTCCAAAAATAAATAGGAGCATGCCACCAGTCACCAAAATATCAGTTTTTGTTTTATTTTAACAAGGCGGTTTGGTCATGCAGCAGGGGCCAGGGCACACGGACATTAGCGCGCCCAAATGTGACCTGCCAGATGTGTCGATACCAAAGGGCGGGGGGCATTCTTTATTTGTAATTAAATGATCTCTTGGTGTGTTGGCCTGGAGCTGGACCGCTGTGGTGTTTTACGCTAATGCTAATGGACCATGTTCTCGACTGACCTTGCTTTTCCACCTGGGGTGAAAAATGAGTCAGCAGGAGTCAGTGCTGCCAGACTAATGCACAGAAAATGTCTTTGGGTTCCTTAATCAGATCTCCATAATGGGGCGGCCTTCACTGGGAGCTTGTGCTGCTGTTTACTGATTGTGGGTGGGGGGATGGGGGGGTTGGCAGTGTGTACTACAGCCAACCTGATGATGCGTACTGCATGAGATGATGATGATCCGCAAAACCATGTGGACCATGTGTGCCATGGCATTTGGAATTAGAGGCTCTGTAGTGGACAGGTGTCTGTGCAAGCAGCCCAATCGTAAGAGTGTGCAGTGTGAGTGTGCAGTGTGTGTGTGCAGTGGGGGGGGGATGTGCAATGTATATATTATAATGTGATGAAGACCTGTTTTTACCTTGTGGGGACACTGTTTTATATATAAAAAAGGAAAATAAAAAATCTGTGAAGGCAATCAAAAATGTAAAAATGCCAAAAAGGTTTATTTGGTTACTTATGGTTAACGTTAGTGCTGGGTAGGGGTTCAGGTTGTCATAGTTTGGATAAGGGATACGCCTCAGAAATATATGGAGAGTCCCCACAAAAATACACATACCTGTTCTGTGTGTGTGTGTGTATGTGTGTTTTAGTGCAGTCACAGCTGAGTGTGCAGATGGAGGATGCTGTCGAGTTTCCTGTGGGAGACACAGCACAGATCTCCTGCTCATACTCCTTCAGCGAAAAGCCCCCGGATGTGATTATACAGTGGACTGCAGTGAGTATACTCTCCACCAACAGTGGGATGACATGAACAAATGGCAGTCAGGGATGAGAACTGGGTATGATGCGAAGTCCAGGTCAAAACTGATGATATATTTCAAGTTATCACTGGTTCATATACATGGGGAGACTAACCAAGATCATTAAAAGGTCCCTGTTCACCAGTTAAAAGGTGATAGAAAGAGGATCTACAACAGCAACATCACGGTGAGCCTTTCCGATGAGCTGCCGGATTTCGTCGGTCGCATCAACATCAGCTGGGACTCTGACGACGACAGACAGGGAGAAACAGTGTTAACCATAATGGACCTGAAGGTGAAGGACGAGCAGCAGTTTGCCTGCCAGGTGGATGGCATGTCGGCCGGGATGCAGGAACGCCGGACTTGGCTCAAAGTGTTCGGTACGACTGCCAGCTATTGGAAGTAAACCGTCTGTTTGTGGAGAGTTTATCTGCAATCTTTTTTAACCTACCCCTGTACACCTCTGGGGTTATATCTACCAGAGAGATGGGACTGTCAACATGCCGAATAGTCAGATACCTTAGTCAACAGAGGAACACAATTAAAAGTTAAAAACCATGTATGAGAATAAGTATGAGAACATGTCTGCTAATAAAACACACTTATGTGTCTAATGTAATTCTGACCTAATCTGAGCCATCAGATAAGATTTAAGGTTTTTTAATCATGTTCTCATGATATGTAATTTTAATATTTGTCACAATAAATCTTCAGTTATTCAAGACCTGCTGATTAAACGTGAATTAAGAGACTTGTACAAAAGGACGTTTGATGTTAAAACTAAACTCTTCTGACTTTCCTACCCTCACACCACCCACAGAATCACCAGATTCACCCGAGATTGAAGATGCTGAGTCTATATTCAGAGTTGACAGCAATGAGCAGTTAAGGGTAAGATATGCTCTTCAAAAAGAGAAGTTCTTTGCTTCATATTTCTTTTGTGTGGGAAGGAGACACTGTGGGCAGACATCTCAAGGGGTTTACACCTCGCTGAAGCTGCAGGGGAGGCTCTACTGTATGGATCCACTTCTGTTCACGTGTCCAGATATATAGGTGGACAGAATCTGTTCTAGAGAAATTGCAAAGAATTGGACACTCAGGGGCCTTAAGCATAAAGACTGCCCTTTACTTTTGCCTGCACTGTTCATCCCTCCTCCACCACCCCTGCTATAGGTCGCAACGTGCAAGACCAGAAATGGCTACCCTAGACCAAAAATTACTTGGTACCGTGACCGCACCACACTGCAGCAAAGCACAGGTGAGTACAGAGTTGAAAAAGTAGATGGTCAGAGTCAGGGCTATCATCACAGTCTTCCTGCCTCTGTTTGGTTTAACTTTTTCACTCTTCAGTACAACTGCTTTGTTTTCTTGCATTTATTTATGACTGGTTAACCTCAGTGCTTCTTTCACTGGTGGATTCTTGCTAAAAGGGATACCTGCTTGAGTAATGAGGTGGTGTAATGAATCTGTTCCGTTTTCGCTCAGACGTCTTCATACAGGAGCGGGAGATACAGGAGTCCAGCGGCCTTTTTACCATCGAAAGTGAGCTTCACTATAAAGTGACCAAGCAGGATAAGGATGCCCTTTTCTACTGTGAGGTCACCTACCTGTTACCTGGTGAAACAAGGATGATGGAATCAAAGCACATCAGTATCACTGTTCACTGTAAGTGCCTACCATATGCAACTCAACTCCAACCCAACAAAATGCATGTGCACCATAGTGACCCCAGCCATGACCAATTGCACATGAACCATACTGTTCCTAGACCTCAACAAATGTACACACACATCGATTTCACACCGGACCAAAACACACTACACCAGTCCCACACCGGACCAAAACACACGCACGTACCATCAGTCCCACACCTGACCGTACATGTACTCTTTGAAACAACATATGTACACTGCCTTCATACATTCGTGGGCCTCCTGAACACTGACAGGTGCCAGTATAATGAGAGCCTTGCCATTTTTTTCTACCCACACACAGATCCATCAACGAAGACTGAGATGTGGATATTGCATCCAAAGAGGCTGGTCAAAGAGGGGGATAAGGTGGAGATCGCCTGTCATGGAAATGGGAATCCACCGTCATATTTTTTGTTTTCTAAGGAGGTAGGAAACCAGCCCACTTGCTTACCATAGTGGTTTTCATCTGTCCTCACCACCCCCCCCCCCCAAAAGCTAGTCCATTTTTTTTGTGCTACATACACATCTAATTTTACTGGTCAACTAATTACCACATGTAGATGATGGAGTTGTGTGGGGTGGCTGGGTTGAGAACCACTGCTTTAACAGCTCACAAAATTACAGTAGATTTTGCACTACAGTGAACACTTCCAAATCATACATGGACATGTCACCCATTGATTTGACCACAAGTAAGCATGCATGTCCATGCACCTGCATGAGTGTGTGCAGTGCCATGCATCTGTTTGCCTCTGCTGTCCCTAGGACATCGATATGGATTTTAAACAGGATGGGGAAAAGCTACTGCTAATGAACGTGACTCGTGCAGACAGTGGCACGTACCTGTGTGATCCCATGGATACAAACATCATTCTCGACCAGCAGCAAGGGAAAACTGAGCTTCAAGTCCACTGTGAGTGCTGTAAAGCTTGTCCAGACAGCTCTTCACCTGCTCCATCTTGCTAAAAAACATACACAACAAGCAATTTTATGAGGGAGTAAGGGCCACGATATTTCTATGCTCTTCTTGTGATCTCCTCAGACCTGGATGAAGTGGTGTTGATGGCTGAGAAAGGGAGGGTGATGAAGCTGGGCGACAGCCAGAAGATTACCTGTAATGCCTTGTCCTCCCTGAGCACCCATACCGAGTGGTTCAAGGTACCACTGCTGTTGCCATAGATATCAGTTTGCAGAGTGTTCCACATGATACACTGACTATGATTGACAGTAACCATCTGTTAATCTGTAACAATAGGGTGGAAAGAAGATTGGAGAGGAACATGTGCTAGAGCTACAAAATGTGTCTTATGGAATGGCAGGGGAGTACAGCTGCCAAGTGACTGTGCCCTCTCTGCCCAATCTGCATCGCAGTGCCACCATCCATATAATCACCCAGGGTGAGCTCCCATAATCCCCCACCATCTCCCATGGTACAAAAACTGTTGATAGTGGGGTGATGCAGTTGGGTAGGTATGACATTATTAACACCTCCCCCACCCCACAGGGCCCCCTATGATTATCTCGCCAGATGATGTCATTATCGACACCCATATTGGGGACTTTCTGAACCTGACCTGTGAGGCTTTGGGTTTACCCTCACCTACCCTCACCTGGAAAGTTGACAACAGTCAGGTGACATCCCTGCCCCATGTCACATGACCCGATACCCCTCTCACACTATGGACATTTAAGTTTTTGGGTCAATTCCTAGTCAGAATTGGCTATATCATCATGTTTCTATGATTAATATAATAGTTATAATGTAATACATGGTCTTCTGCTGGGTAATACAGATGACAGGGCGGAGCAACCATTTGGAGGGCAGGACTCACAGTGCGCTGGACATGAAGGTGACCTCTAACCTCGCAGTCGTCTGCATCGCGACCAATGACGAAGGCACAGACAAGAAGTTCTACAGGGTCAGGGCCAGTAAGTGTCAGCAGCCAACTGGGCTCTGTGGGGGGTTTAGGGTGGGTATGCCCTGTATCCAGTTCAGACCCATACCCAACAGTGACGTGATCTGTATCCAGTTCCGACCCACACACAACAGCGAGAATGTGATCTGTTCCCAGGTCTGACCCATATCCAACAGTGAGAACGTGACCTGTACCCAGTTCTGACACATACCCAACAGTGAGAAAGTGACCTATACCCAGTTCTGACACATACCCAACAGTGAGAAAGTGACCTGTACCCAGTTCTGACACATACCCAACAGTGAGAACGTGACCTGTACCCAGTTCTGACACATACCCAACAGTGAGAACGTGCCTTGTATCCAGCTGGCTTGGGAATGAAGAGCAGAGGGGCACATACAGTAGGAGGAGCTTTAATCAAACTTAAGCACTGGCCCGTGTTGCCATTGCAGGGAACATTTTTGTTTTGAATTTGATGTTTGAATTACATTGTTTATAGGTTTCCTGTTGAGAGCTGAAATAGCCTTTACATGAAACACATTATTCCAGAATAACAATCGTGGACCTGACCAAACACACATGCACCAGCTTGATAACTAACCATAACAAATGAAAAGCTGGATGACTCAACAAGAATCTCTTCTGCCTATGTTTAATCGAATCTGTTCTAATAATTGTCATCTGGTTTGTTAACAGGTACTAGAGCAAAGAAGGTTCAAAAAGGTGTGTATCCCATCTTTAATACACAACCCCCTTATGTACAAATATCCAGTGAAAATTATAGTTAAAAACTACTGCATTTACTGTACTTTTGCAATACAACAGCAAAGTAATGTTATTAATTTAATGATATTGCGAATGTTACTGAGCTGATATCCAGCCATCTACACTGGCTGTTATGTGATGCCAAATGGGGCGTAGTCAGATGTTGCTGACTGTCTCTTCAGTTTGCCGCATAGTGCTTCTGTGCTTAAATTCAGGACAATAAAACACGGAGGTCGTAACCCCCTTCAGATTGTTTACAGCACGGGCAATGTTGTCAACTTTCAGCATCCGAAAATGAAGATAACTTTGCTATGATATCCTATGAATCATTAATTTTCATAGTGTAAATACTGGGAGCATAAGGAGAGAGAAAAATGCATGTGACTGCATTTCCACTGTTTTCCTCCAGAGAGTGGTGTGATTATCGCTGTCATTATAATCTCTATTCTCCTGCTGGCTGTCCTGGGGAGTATCCTCTACTTTCTGTACAAGAAGGGCAAGATCTCCTGTGGACATTCTGGGAAGAAGGAAATGTGAGCACAAACTTCAGATTTTTAAATGAGCAGTTGGGCTGATCATTGTATGCTACTTAGTGTTTTGTGACCAGGGTTATTCATGTCTCCACAGAACTAAGGAAAAGGGTAAGAAAGACGACATTGTCATGGAGATGAAGACGGACAAGACAGAAGAGACTGTGCTTCTTCAGGGTGTCAATGGGGACAAAAAAAGCCTTGATGATCAGGTAACTAGGGCCATATCCGACAGATATGTGACAGGGGACTCTTGGATTAGAAACAATAATTAACATGTCTTTGTTTCTAGTAAATGCAACTATAAGCAATTAATAATATTCTTTACAAATTGATTCATGATAGTTTAGTCCATTTTCATATAGTTAGTGAGATTGATGTGTGAGGGAAAAGATCAGTAATGGTTTGCATCTGTCATCTTCCTGTTTCTCCTGGAGTAAAGTGTGATGAATACATGGAAGTGGAAAACTGAGGAGCTGCCGACCTCTGTGATTTAAGGAGGAGGAGAATCATGGGCACAGCATCAAGCCCCCCCACCCCACCTGCTGCACATCCTCTTCCCTGATACAAGCCTGGGACTGATCCACATCACAAATAAGGCCTATTTGAATTATTTCTACAAGCAATGTCAAAGGACATTCACAGTTTTTGACTACTGGTACATAACAAAAAAAGCTTCACCCCTGGTCACTGTGATAAGCTGTTAAAATTTACACACACTCACACACACACTATATATATAAAACTGGGGAGAAAAATGAGATGCCAGCTTCTAGGACAGAGGTCAGCAAATCCTACGCTTCCTCTTCCTCGTTTGAGCCAGGCAGAGATTGCTCTTCTTCCTCATGGACCCACAATTGGATGCAGGTTTGACAAACTGGGCTGCCGGGAAGGTGGGATTTCTCCGGGACATGAAGCGAGGAGATCGTTGTACATGATAATTGCTGCTGAAGCGATTGCCTTTCCTGATCCTGGCCTCTCATGTGTCATAGCCCCCCCCCCCCACACAACCCTGCTATTTAATATTCAGCCTGCATATCTATAGGTGAATCCACGTTCAGTAGCCTTGGGGGTGGTACTCTGCCCATTTTGGTGCTTGGAAACCATATTACAAAGGATTTGTGCACAACAGCTTCCTTCCAAACTGGGGGTGGAGTGGAGTGAAGTGGGGTGGGCTTCCCCATTCAGACATTTGAGACATCTTGGGGGGGTCCTGATCTCCAGCAAAGAACTTTATATACGGTCAAGATGCACTTACAGTATATACAAGACTCCAGTGAGGTGGAGTGAAAAGCAACACAACAACCTATCAAATGAAAATGACAAATAATTAGGCTTTATTTAAATGAACTGCTACCCAGAGCTGCACATAGGTGTGTATTAAACTTGCTGGTAAGGGCTCCACTCTTAAAAATGGCCAACCATCTTTAACTGCTCATATATTCTAGTTTGGCAGCGGGCAATCTTATCTGAAAAGGGTTAGTGTATATGTAGGTTTTTGGGATAGCCTTTAGATCAGCTGTTCAAACCTAGGTGTGAGGACTCTTTAGCCAATCAGTCTTCTTATTAGTAATCTAATTAGGGAGGTGCGGAGAGAACCCACACACACAGCGGCCCTTTCTGGACAAGACTGCCCATCCCAGTTCCAGGAACTTCTAAGCACCCGGAAATGTCTTCATACTATTGCAAAAATGTCACTACAACTATACTCAGTTGAGCACATTAGACACACTGGAGGATTGCTGTACCAGACTTATTTAACTGAAAAGGTCTTTTAAACAAATGTACATATCACTGGTTCAAGCAACTTGTTCTTTTAGAGCCTTCTTATGCTTCCTGGGGCATGTAAATGTACATGGCTGTCACACACCATACAATACATTAAGTTTAACAAAGCACTGGTTCTGGAAAGAATTTATTTTAATCTGCCTGTCACATTCTTGTGCCTACTGTTTTTTAATACCTTAAACACTGAGCGTTCTGAATTGTTTGGCCCTGTTTGAAGATTAAATATCATCAAATAGGTAGTTTTGGAATATTCTAATCTGGGTAATTTAAGTTGTATATTGTACACTGTGTACCGCAAACGTTTCAGATACCTTGTAAATGTCATTTTCATTTCAAATGTATCACCATTTAACAATAGATAGATAGCTATACTGTAAAGATTAAATCTAATATGTAATGTTTATGATTTTCACAAGTGTGTAAATTAAGGATGTTTGAGCAGATTTTTTTTAACAATGCTTTTGAAAGTGAATATGTGAAATAAAAGGCTTTTGAATTTAAAGTTATTCCTGTTATGTTCACAGTAAGTAATGACGTGAACAACCAGTTCTGAAGCCCAATCTGAGCTCTGAGGCTCCACCTTCCATTGTGTGAATTTTGGGAACAGTTGGAGCATGATCATGAAATTACCATGCTAATGGTAACATGGGGTGCTGTACCACCAATGGCAGCCAGGTACTACAGTGACTCATCTGTCAAAGTTTAGGGCAGGCATGGGGAACCACTTTCGTGGAGGGCCGGTGTATAACAGTGTATGACCTCTAATAACAGTCAGTCCCCTGGACTGGAGTTGAGAACCATTGTTTTATTACTGGCTGATTGAGAGGTCATCCCAAAAACCTGCACCCCCACTGGCCCTCCATGGAAAAGATCCCCCACCCCTGAAAATGCAATTTGGTTGCCGATTTTGCATTTTGCAATGCTGGGGCTGCCAAATCTTAATTTTTAGCATGTTACTAAGTATGAAGTTTTTTAACGTTTTGCATTGCCAGATGCACATTCACGAAGGCAATTTTGCAATTTTGTAACCTATTTTTTGTGTTTTGGGGTGCCTGGGCTGCCAAGTCTTTGAAATATTGATGTGTTTTTATGACAGTTCTGCTCCCCACACGGATAGGAAACCACAATTTAGCATGATTTTGTAGCATATTTCCTGTTTTCCAACAGCCTGTTGTTTCACCTTAATATAGTACTAAATACTTACGTATTAGTGGTGCTCCAAGTTTTTTTTTGCAAAACTGAAGGTAAACAGACTTGAGTTTGAAAATTGTGGATATTAATATTTGTTTTAGAATATTTTTGCAAGCATTTTGAAACATGGTGTGTTTTGAAGTACGTTTTTGTTTAGATGTGGAGTGGTTTTATAGTACTTAATATAGTACTAAATACTTAAGTACTGGTGGTTGGTGTTTGTTTGGCAGAGTGTAGTTTCTTGTTCAAAAGCAAACAAAAAAAAAACCCCGACAGGAACTCTACCTTGACATGGAAAATGACATGGAAAATTCATAAGTAAAGCCAGTAAACCCACTCTGAGCAGGGTAGGTGTGCAGTGTAAATGACCGTGGTAATATACTCTATTCAGAACTGAGCTATGATCCACAGCATGGAAAGTTCATAAGTAAAGCCAGCAAACCCACCTTGCAGTATAACGCTCAGAACCGTTAATGTTAATGAAGAGGAAGAGAGAACAAAGAGAAGGAAAGCTAGACAACGGGCAACAAGGCTCAAGACAATGATGTACAGGGAACTAATCAAACATGCATTAACATCATTTAACGTTATCCATTTTTCATCAGAGACCAAGAGTGATTCTGATCCTGACCATGGCTATTTAGATTACACTGAAACAGATGATGACAATAAGGTAACTAATAATAGCAATCAGTTATCATTACAGTCACTGCTCATGGAGTGACTGAGGTCCGTTGCAGTGACATTAATGTCATTAAGAGACGGTCGCTCGCTGAATATCACGGTAGCCTAGAAGTAATCACCACTGTGCGTACTACTTTACGTCAGTGTTACATACTCGATTTGATAAAATTGTCCCCAAAATGTAGTAAAACACACACATACACAAAGACACACGCATACACAATAAATTTACATTGTAAATTATCCTAATAACCGTGGGAATTTTTCTATTTTCTTGCTGCCATCTCCTGGCCGAATGTAAGTATTGCAATTACCAGAAAAGATCATTTTAATGTTTTTAAATGGTAGTACTAAATTTTGGCCACCAGACGGCAGCATAAAACATGTGTGCACTGTAACAGGGCACTGTGTGAGTGTGTGTGAGCTCTAACCGGGGGCACTGTATGTGTGTGTGTGTGTGTTTGTGTGCAATAACAGTGCACAGTGTGTATGTGTGTGTGTGCGCTGTAACTGGAAACTGTATGTTTGCACTGAAACTGGGCACTGTGTGTGTGTGTGTGTGTGTGTGTGAGAGAGCTATAACCAGGGGCTGTGTGTGTGTGCACGCTGTAACTGGGCCTTTTGTGTGTATGTGTGCGTGAGCGCTAGCCGGGGCCTGCGTGTGTGTGTGCTCTAAGTCGGCGCTGTGTTTGTGTGTGTGCGTGTGCTATAACAGGGCACTTTGTCTGTGTGTGTGCGTGTGTGAGAGAGCTATAACCAGGGGCTGTGTGTGTGTGTGCACGCTGTAACTGGGCCTTTTGTGTGTATGTGTGCGTGAGCGCTAGCCGGGGCCTGTGTGTGTGTGTGCCCTAAATGGGCGCTGTGTTTGTGTGTGTGCGCTGTAACTGGGCACTTTGTCTGTGTGTGTGCGTGTGCTATAACAGGGCACTGTGTCTGTGTGTGTGCGTGTGCTATAACAGGGCACTGTGTCTGTGGGCTGTAACAGTGCACAGTGTGTGGGTGTGTGTGCCCTAAATGGGCGCTGTGTGTGTGCGCTGTAACTGGGCACTTTGTGTGTGTGTGTGGTCTAAGTGGGCACTGTGTATGTGTGTGTTTGTGTGTGCTGTACCTGGGCACTGTGTGTGTATGTGTGCACGTGGTGTAACAGGGCACTGTGTGTGTGTGCACTTGTGTGCGCGCTATAACAGCACTGTGTGTGTGTGTGTGTGCTGTAACTGAGTCCTGTATGTGTGTGTGTGCTGTAACAGGGCACTGTGTGAATGTGTGTGAGCTCTGACTGGGGGCTCTGTGTGTGTGTGTGTGCATGCATGTGTGTGCTGTAACAGGGCACTGTGTCTGTGTGTGTGGGCTGTAACAGTGCACAGTGTGTGGGTGTGTGTGCTATAAATGGGTGCTGTGTGTGTGCGCTGTAACTGGGCACTTTGTGTGTGTGTGGTCTAAGTGGTCACTGTGTATGTGTGTGTTTGTGTGTGCTGTAACTGGGCACTGTGTGTGTATGTGTGTGCGCTGTAACAGCACTGTGTGTGTGTGTGTGCTGTAACTGGGCACTGTGTGTGTATGTATGTATATGTGTGTGGGTGCACTGTAACAGGGCACTGTGTGTGTGTGTGTGTACTCCATGTGGAGATTGTGTGGGTGCCCTGTAACTGGGCATTGTCTGTGTGTGCTGTAACAGTGGACTGTGTGTGTGCTCTAAGTGGGCACTGTGTGTGTGTGTGTGTGTGTGTGTGTGTGTGTGTGTG